ACTCTGTATCACACAGTGGCCAGAAATACCAGTGCCATCAGGAGGTCCACCAGTGGGGCCAGGACATTAGAACCCCCCCCACTGTTAAACCCCCCCCCCCCCAAGTACCAAGAAGACAGAGCATCACTTGCCCCAGAGTCCCTATCTATACCTTGTGGCTAATAGCCACAGATGGACCTCTGCTCCATATGCTTATCTAATTCCTTTTTGAAGCCATCCATGCCTGTAGCCGCCACCACTTCCTGTGGCAGTGAATTCCATGTGTTAATCACTCTTTGGGTGAAGAAGTACTTCCTTTTATCCGTTCTAACCCGACCGCTCAGCAATTTCATGGAGTGCTGATATGCCTGTGTGCCATAGGGGGCTTGAGCAGCAGGTCTACCAAGTTTCTTGGGCAAAAAAAAGAGAGAGAGACTGAAGGTGTCTAATTTTGTGCTGCCTTGGCTGGCTGACAAATTATTGACTTGTGTCTTGTCCTGGTGCAGGTGATAATCCTTATAGGAAACAAAGCAGATCTGGAAGCACAGAGGGATGTTACATATGAAGAAGCCAAACAGTTTGCGGAAGAGAATGGTGGGTATTCTCCTTTTTAGGGAAGTCTGAGCAGAATTCCTGCCCATAGGTGTGCCTTGGGCCCCTGTAGCTGTGTTGGGGGTTGCCAAGGAAGGATGCAGCCCTTGCAGCCCGGTGTTGACGTCTCTTCTCCGTCGATCTAGATATGCAAGTGACAGCCCTTCCCTCTCCCTCCTGGGGTTCTGACCCTGTGGGCTCTCTTGCTTGGGAGGCTTGCCAGAGGGACTAGGGACTTCAACTGTGCTAAACTTCTCTCTTATTTCTAAACAGGGTTGCTGTTCCTTGAAGCAAGTGCAAAAACGTAAGCAGTGGGCTTGATTATGTGAAATTGCTGTGTATGACTCCATGATGCTTTTCAGAAGAGAGCAAGGAAAACTTGATTTTAGCCTTTGTAGGATATGGAATGGCTTTTTATGGTGGTGGTGGTGGGGGGAAGATCTAGCTTGGAGTGTGGCTCATGCCTCTTCCCTTTGCAACCGTTAGTTGACGGGCTGCCTCAGTTCAGTTTCCCATCTCCGAGGCTAGAGATGGAGAAGCTTGTCTGAGCGCTGGCAGAAAGGTACGGCATCGACCTGTGGTGTGTGTGCAAGCAACCAAAATGTAAGGAGAGAGGGAGAGTTGACATCCATCCTTGGCCAGGCCCACTGGGAGTAAACGGAGTCCCAGCAGGGCAGCTGGCATCTCAAGGATTGTCCCAGACCCCTCTGGTGGCTACACAGTTTCAGGGGATACAGTCTCAAATCAGTTGTGTGGATTGCCTTTTCCCATGGTGCTGCCAGTGCCTTTGGCAGAGAAGCGGCTTTGCGTGGCATGCAAGATGGTTTAGCACATGTACCAGTTGTCTGCCCTATCCCAGGCCCTAAGGGAGGCCAAGGGCACTGCTTCTTGGCCACCGCCTGCCTTGCTCCCCTTCTAGCCATACTCCCCCCCCTTATCTGTTTTCACTTGTTCCTGTCTTCCCTCATCTCTTGATGTGGTGCAGAGTATCTCACCCTTTCATACCAGCTGCATTGTTGGTCTATGCCAGGCCCACGCCCACTATAATGTTTTGTCACTGGTCCATGAGATTGCTTGAGAGGCTTGGGAATGACAAGTAGTTTTCAGTTTTCATTGTTCAGGAAGTGTGGCGCACTAATATTTGCCACCTGAGATGCACATCCTGTGCCTAATAATATGTTTTTAAGGAATTCAGGCATGTCGGGGTTGTGAATCGTAAATAAGCTTAACTTTCCAGCCAGCCAGCTCTTGATACCTCCAGTCCAGCTGTAGCAAGCCACAGCTACGGAATGCTCTTAGGATCTTTCTCTTCTGGCTTGTGTACGTCTCAGCTGAGGGCGGTGTAGTGGTTAGACTTAAGGGACACCCGCATTCAAATCCCAGGCTCGCTTTATTGGTTGTCTGTGGGGATGCCCTTGGCTCAGGTGCTATCTCTTGCACAACATACTTCATGGGCTGGGGGAATTTACACTGTCCCAAGCTATTTGGAGGATGGCATAAATAATACGCATATTAACTCGTGCCTTCCACCATGAGTTTAATGAAAGCTAGGACTTGGAGGGTTGAGGAACTGTTTAACTCAGACCGACAGGATCTCTTCTGGAGCGGAGTCCACCACATCTGTTCTGAATTAATGTCGCTGCTTCTCCTTCCACAGAGGAGAGAATGTTGAGGATGCATTCCTAGAGGCTGCCAAGAAAATCTACCAGAATATCCAAGATGGGAGCCTGGATCTGAATGCTGCAGAGTCTGGTGTACAGCACAAGCCTTCAGCTCCGCAGGGCGGCCGGCTAACCAGTGAACCCCAGCCCCAGAGAGAAGGCTGTGGCTGCTAGTGACCTCAACGTCTCAGCTCTGTTTCTGACCTTAAACCTCTGTTAGGAGCAGTGCTTTTGGCTGCTTCAGTTTCCTCTGTACATCTTACTGGGTTTAATTAAAACTCTTGAGGCAACAGTTTAACACAGTACTAAACTGCTAAAAGTAAGAGAAACTTAGATGTAATCAGGTTATCAAAGGCAAGTAGAGTCAAACCCTCTCCCTGCATGGTAAATCTAGAAGTCTTTTTTTTCCCCCTCCCCCCATGATTGTCCTTGTGAATAGTGTCACCGATCCATGACTTACAAAACAGAGCACTGATGCTGGACCTCATGATTTTTACTCTTTCTCTCTTCCTCCGCAGGGCTTTGTCTCTCTTGTAAGGTTTAACTTTGTTAGCTTCAGCATTTCCCTCGATCTGTAACTGGTCTCAATCTGTCCTTTTAGTAACAAAGAACGTGACTTGCTGTGGAGTGGCTTCCAAGAGTAGAGCAGGAGTCCACAGAACGTGTGTCTCATTGAAAAGATTCCCCGTTATACAGTCAGGGAGGTGGGGGGACCCCATTGCAGGGTTGTATGTTTCATCCGTCTTAGCCTAGCGCACTCTGCAGTTCGATGCTGCCACCCCTGCCTCCTCCTCTTGGAATTTTTATCCCTGACCCTTGTTAGCAGAACGTAAATATGTATAAATTTTGAAGGAACCGAGCTAACACACTTAAGTACCTTCTGTGTATATGATTTTAATGAGAAATAAAACTGATTACTGGCATTAGAACAATGCATAAGAATATATTGGTCTGTACAGTTCAACCTAATACATGACCACATTGCCCTGCTTAGTAAAACTGCAGTCCACTTTATCATAGGCTTAATTCTGTGGCATTGGCATTTTGGAGGTGGCAGTTGGGAAGCTGGGTCCCTGCCATGGTGCAAAAGGCATATCTGCCCCAATGTAGTAATCTGGCCCATAACTACACTTTGGCCACCTATTGCTGTTTCCTAATACTCCTGGTCTTGTGCAATTGGTGTGTGCTTTTTCCTTTCCATTCTCTCTTTTGTTAAGAGTTCTGCATTGATCCAGCTTAATTTCCTGCCTTATTGTATAGAAGGCTGGGCTCTATTGCACATTTTATGCTTTTTACGAAAGGGTTGTTCTCAACTGGACTGTCATGAGTATTTTGCTCTTTAGGTTCTTGAACTACACTGTGGCATTTGACACTACAGTTGAACAGGCTTAATTTGTGCTCCTGCTAAATTCTTCACCCCTGCTGTGGTTGCAAGGATCTTTACTGAAAGAACTAGCTCAAAGCAATTGTTTATATGCAGACCTGACTTTCTACTTTGGTTGGAGCCATGTTATGGAAACAATCTCTACTCTGTACTGTACCCTGGCATCATGGCCTTTGTTTTTTTTAAAGAGGAAGGCCAAGGAGTAGTTGAGCATGATTGGGGGTAAGAGGAGCACGTGTGAACGTTTTGACTGCAATGTTCACAGTTTAGAAATCCGCATAAGACACTAAGCAAGGCTGTGTTCCAATATGTAAGCAAAGGGTGATAACCAGCATATTGTACAGTCAATGTTAAATAAAAGCCAAAACTGGAATGTGCAAATGATTAGTGTTTGGGTAACTTGTGCACTGTCCCTTGGTGTTTTTCCTTTTCCCTTTTTTGGATCCTCTTAGGTTCTTGCCCTCTCCCAAGTTTCTTAAAATAGATGAGTATAATAAATTTTTTTGCTATAATGAATTGCACCAGGTGGGGGATTTTTGCCCAGGGACCATGACGTGTTGATACAACTAAGTTTGGGCAAAGGCAATCACTTCCTGCAGCTTGTTGGTGATGCAATATCCCCCCTTACATTTCCCCAGATGAAAGTTACAGTAAGTCTTTGTTTCTGTGACAGGACTTATTTGGGCTGCTGTACTCATTTAATGTAACAATGCTATTATCTAAATATTTGTAAATAAAGTACCTGTATCTAGATAAGTGACAGTAGTTATTCTTTGAAGACTTCTGAAGTGGGTGCAAAATTATTTCGAGGCGGTCACTGAAATACCTACTAGACTTCAGCTGTAGGGTGTGCTGTGTGATCCTACATATTCTTCAGTAAAGGAAAGAAACTCTAAATGGCTGAACTGGATTATATGTTTACCAGTCTCCCTTCTGGAATTTGACAGCAGCATTGGTGAACAAGTGTTACAAAAAGCAAAATAAAGCTGGTGAGCAGCTCTTCTCTTTGGAAATTTTCATTTTCAACTGGATGATATTTTGCAGGGAAAATGATGCAGGTTTACACCTGTGACTTGGCCAAATGTCAAGAGTGCTGACTGGTATTTTCCGGCTATGGCTATTTCTTTAATTTCTGACTTTCAGAACACCATCCACATGACTGAACCTACTTGATTTTGTCTTCAGGCTTGAGTACTGAGAAGTGGTATTTTAAGTTTCTGGAAGTTCTTCCCTGCACTAGCAAGGTAAGGGCTTGGCTAACCTGCATGTAGAAAGAATAACCGAGCTTGGTGCCCCTTATTTTCCAGAAAAAAAGCAGTGTTTGACAAACGTTATTTTATTAAAAAAATATGCTTACCCACAAATATTTCCCCAAACAGCTGTAAAAATATAAAAACCCAAACTCTTGCCCATCTTCAAATCTCCCCCTCCAAAGGTACCACTGAGACTAAGGCTGTAAGGTTTTCAAGTGCTTCATTAGAGTTCTTCAGACTTCGTGCTCAAATGTCACAGATTGCAAAAATCTTCACTATTATATATTGAATGGAGTATACGTAAGGAAAATAATGTGAAAGATGTCCCAAAGGAATGTCTCATGCAAGGAAATGAGGTAGCAATCTTCAGCTATTTTGCACCCATGTTATATGCACCAGCCAGCACATCACTGCTTTCCTACAATAAAAAAAGTCACATTAAGCCACACACACTTCCAACTATACACCAAAATCAATGGCAGGTAACAGATCAATTGTACCCATTTTCTTTACTCCACATTCCCAACGCTTCTCATTATACCCATTCTTGGCACTTAAAACTGGTGAGTAAGAAAAGGAGAGTCCCATTGCATGGAAAGAGAGTGTTGGGGTTTGCTTACAGCAGAAAGAACTGAGTTGCTAAAGTGTCTAGCTTTAGCCTACCTTTGGCGGGATAGCTGCTACCGTACATACAGGGATTGTTCCCACAGGCCATTAGCTTATCATTTTCTCTGTGTAACTGTGGCCTTTATGTTAAAGATAGTATTGACTTAGTGTGACCTCTTTGTCCAGGTACCAGAGGGTGATGCTGCTTAAAAGTAGGGTTTTCAAGAGGTTTTTCTAGTTCTTGTGGTCTCTTAACCAAAGGAAACCTACATTTCTAATACTAATGTACCTACCTGCTTTGCTGAGATTAAGCCGTGTACTGGTGCATTTGTGCAGAAGCAGATGTTGGTGGCATAGACAGGGATCTGGCAAACTAGAAAAGAAGCCACTTAAGTAAAAATAATTCCTCATAGCCATGTTGACTGGCCAGACTTTCTGGATTATGTGGTGGCAGAATAATTCCTAATACAATCATTTTTCTTTTCTTCATATTGGTTAGAGAAGCAGGCTATGATTAGATTTTTTTTAAAAAGGTATTCCAGATCCTTGAGGTCAAAATGAATAAGCCAGAGCAGTGTTATAGTGAATAAACTCATCAGGCAGCAGCTTCTCTCCCCCACCCTCTTTCATGCTGAGACTGTGCTCATGCTCCTGATTTCCGAAATAGCTGCCAATAAAGTTATTCAATAAAATCTCCTCAAACGTGGAACATTCTCTCATTCTGGAGGACTCAAAGATGCTTTTGCCTGCCTTCTTTACAAAAATGTGCTAAGAATGAAAGTTTCTTGTAGAAAAGGAACTTCATCAGATGAAGTCTCCCTTAAGTGCTGCACTGTGTGAAACGGATTCCTTTATGAACTGACAGTTCCACATCATAAATAAGACAAACAGTGGTTCTGTGGCTGCCATGTCTCTAAACGTCCCAGAACATTCATGTTTCCTGAATCTACAACTTCTCTATACAGATTCAAAGTCTCAAGCCTAAGTACCTTTCTGAAGTGCTGTGGCTACCTCCCTGATCTGGCTTTGTTCACATATTAGTATTCAGAAAGACTGCATCCTACAGGCATTACTAGGGTGGGTGATGGCTGAGCAGGGGGAACTTGCACAGCAGAACGTACAGCATCCTTCACCAGGGTCCTTATCAGTGAGCACTGGGTCTCCCTGGGCAGTGGGGTTGCCGCCTCCCCCCAGGGAAGGACAGCCATGCTGGGGATCCCAGGCAATTATACTAAATTCTGCTCCAGTTTACCTTCTTCTGGGGAAGCACAAAACCTTGCTCTTTTGCAGTTGGGCAGGTTAAAAAAATGAGATGCACACACAATCTTAGTGTGAGCCAAAGATGTGACCTGCCTTTGGCCCTGAGAGAAAGGCAAGTATATAAACATTTTATATAAATAAAGCAAACCGGGGGTGGGGGGGTGGCATATATAGCTAAGGTCAAATAAATTCAGGTTGAATGCAAAATGGAGGTGTTAGTAAAATATGCTTGAGAAAAACTGACATTTGTATCATTGGGAGAATACTGTATTTTCTGGTGTATAAGACTACTTTTTAACCCAGGGAAATCTTCTCAGAAATGGGGGGGGGGTCGTCTTATACGCCGGTAAATACAGTCTCTGGGCAAGTATATCCCAAACTCTATATTTTAACTGGAAAAGTTGGGGGTCGTCTTATACGCCGGAAAATACGGTATGTCTTATACCTCAGCAAAAAAAAAATTACACCCAGAAGAACTGATTACAGACTCCCTTGTATACAGACAAGCAAAAAAACCTTAATTGTCTATTGAAGCATACCTGATTCTTTGGGAGGTTCAGGTCTTCAGGAAGTGAGGCTGTTAATCCTGAAGAGTTCAGTGATGGAAAAAGAGAGTCTGTTGAAGTGCTGCTAACGAGCTCACCCAGGGCATCCACTTGCCTCTTCAGACTATGGAGGGTGCCCTCAGTCTGTTGCTTGCCTTTAATTAACACCTCCACTTGCTTAGACATGCACTGCCGAAGCTGAGCCTTAAGAAAAACAGTAGGTCAATATTCTGCATTTATTAGAAGACTTTTGATAGATAGCTGAAGCTGTTTGCAGAGCCTCAAATGTTCTGAGACAAGAAATGATGAAGCACATTTCATAGATAAGCTAACTTTAATCAAGACCATCTGTTTCCAGCATTCAGGGGATTTGCAAGGACCAGGGGAATGGAAAAGGCACAAAGATTTGGGCTGCTGGGATGGGTCTAGCAAGGAGATGTAAGAGAAAGGAGCAAGGTGGTGTGTAAGGCACACACATGCCCCCTAAGATAATCTTCAATTCTTTCCTGTCTCAAGATTTTGGGCCACGTGCACCATTTAGCCTAGAAACATGCCTTTAAAAATTAAAGCATGGAGTTCTAGCTCAATTCTGCACCAGACAGTAGGCTTTGTGCTTGAAAGTAACTTTGCGGAGACCTTCAGATTCCATAGTTTGATGTGATGCACCCTCTTCCCCCACAAATAACTTCCCTAAAAGGAAATGCCCCTGCATCTCACTGATCTGGACTATTCAGTGGACAGGAGCCCTGTGGCCTTAGAACATTCCTCCATCCTAAGAGCAGCTTGGCTAGGCTGGTAAAACCTGATGTTACTACCTTCAGCCTGTCTTCGTGGTGTTGCAGTTGTTCTCGGCGTGCTTTTCCTCGCCACTGTTCATCCTTTAGGGAGGGAAAAACAAAGACTGTAGTGCAGCCTGTTGGTTAGAAGTTCTTGACATGTCTCCTCTTCACCCCAATTAAAGTAAATGCAGAGAGGGTTGGCTGACAACAGATTAAGATGGCGTTCCAAGTGGAATCAGTCAGCAATTGTCATACAAACTAGTGTGAAATATCAGCAGATCTGTGAATATTATTTAACTACTCCACTCTGGAACAAATATTCTGCTTTGCAAGTTCCAACATCCCCAAGGATTAAATTTTTTAAAATGCAGGCTCCCAGACTTCAAGATTTAAGATTAAAATCTAGAATCCTGGACAGCAGAATAGCAAAGGTGACAATGGGAGTGGAGGGGTTAGGATTTCTAGCACTCTGTGTCAGGAAGGCTTATTGTATGCTTCAGACACTGAGGAGATGCACTAACACAGGAAGAGTGACTTTGGCCTGTTGCATCTGCACACAGCATTTAGTGTCCAAAGCAACACTGGTTATTAGATCGATTTCAGTAGGGTTTTGTTTACCATGACGTGGACTTTAGACATGTCCAATTTTCCATCAAAGCATGACACTCTGATCTCGTTGGCTGCAAATGGATAGTTTTCCTTTAGACATTCTAATTCACTCTGCAGTCTTCCCTGCATGTCAAAGGTTTCCTCCAGATCCTCTAATGCCCCTGGAGGAGACTGGCTTAGGTCCTGCAAACCAGTCCTCATTTTGTCCTTCACTTCCCGTTTTAGCGTCTTCACTGCCCCCTTGAGCTCTTTTTGTTGTTTCTCCAGCTCCTCTTGGCTCTTCATCTAAGCAACAGCACATGGATACAAGAGAGGCATTTCAGACAAGATGCACCAACAACCAGCTTGCATGACTAAGATCCAGTCAAGACACTTGGCAGCCTCCTGCTACGCTGAAGAACTATTCCTGAGTTCGGGGGTGGGGTGGGGAACACCCCTCTAGACTGCACTTTGGCAGTTCAGGATTGATGCGCCGGGTGGCCAAAATGCAAAGGAATGTATCTAAACCACAAACACTCGAAAAGTGTGTGTGGGAGGGCAGGGTAGCTAAAACTTTTGTTCTCCGTCCTGCAGATCCGCATTACTACCTGTGACTTGAGCTGCACATACTCCTCCTGGATCTGGCCAAGGTCCCTCATTAGCCGCTTTGCTCGCTGGTGGTTGTCCTGTGCCACTTGCTCTATGGAGGCTACTTCTTCCTGCAAACAGCTGTTCTCCTGTTTTTGCTCCTAAAATCAAGATGGGGGAGTAGGAGAAACATGAACAGCTTTGCCTCAATCAACAAGTATGCTCCGCTGAAACACAACCCAGATTAGAGTCTGCGCCCCTAACCACTACACCAAACTGTTTGATAGACCCACATCCCTCATCCTCAGCCCCCCCATCATTGTCACATTAATTGTGTTACAAAGCCTCTTTTCATCATGACTCACAGGTGGCAAGACATTTTATTAACATGAAACCCCAGGACCAAACAGATCAGATATGAGCTCATAGCCTGAATGCACGAGTTCCCTCACAACCAAACTGCCATCGACTGAATACATTTTGATCAACACCATCTGGTGCAGAGCGTTCTCTCCATCAGGAAATACACAGCAATGTACCTGAAGAGCCTTCTCAAGCTGGCCCCGCTGCGTCTTGATGGCTTCTCTCAGGCCTGCTATTTGCTTGTCAGCTTTTCTCCTCTCTGCTTGGATCTGACCTTGGAGGACGACCTGCTCTGCCTTTGAGAGATCCAGCTCTCTTTGGAGGCATAAGACCTCAGCCATCTTTTCTTGCAGCTTCAGTTCTTTTTCAGAAAGCTGATGTCCTGGATCCACAAGATTTAAACTGCCTTCATCACTGGAAAAGTCACACACACACCCCACCCAATTTCAGCTTATTGCCTACATCTGCATTCTGCCCAAGAAGCTCATGGGAGCACTTTAGCTTCACCAGCCCAATGAGAGAAATTAAGGTCACCCGTTGGGCTGCACAGCTCAGCTTAGATTTGGACCAGGAATTCCCACAGAATACATTGAAGAGTTCATTCAGCTAGTCAGAGAATGACATTCTAGAAATGGCATTACCTGGCCCTGAACAAATCTTAGCAAAATGCCTAAAAACAGATCAACAGCTGCAGCCTTCAAAATAACCTACGGGTTTTGCTGACAGTTTCTTCAAGGGCTGCACACCAGGACTCTTCCTCCTGAAGCTTCTGGATCCGTTCTTCTGCCTCCTGGACTTTGGCAACCGTTTGCTGCAGTTGACATTGGTGGTTGGCCAGCTCTCGTTCCAACAGCTGTTTCTGGTCCTTCAGTTTAGCTGTGCACTCTTCCAGTTTCTTGTCCTCATGCCATGTGTCTTCCCTGAGGTTCTGAAGGATCTAGCGCAAGACAATGGGTCAAGAGTTACTTTTAGTTCAGGAAGGCCAACTGAATGGGTGGCAGCATTTGTTTCTATATATCATAAAGGATTCGGGCCTAAAAGCTTGCTTTGTCTCACACTAGATCTTAATACATTTATGCAAAGAATTTTCATTTCAATAGTTGGAGATGACTGGGTCAAGAAGAGTGTAGTGTACCTGGAGACAGACTTGTCTAGTAGGTGAAGACTTGTCTAGTAGGTGAAGAAAGCTCTGGTACAGAGAGATGCTGTGGGTTACCTTGCTTCCCATTTAAGGGAGATAAGAAGGAACTCTCCCTTACACCAGAAGGGCTGGTGAATATGACAAAAAGGGTACTTTTCAAATTGTCAAAGTGCCATACAAACTATCTCAACAGGGGCACTAATGGCTTGTATTTAAGAAACCGAGATTAAGGGAACAAAACCATTTACAGGATGAACATTCAACTGAAGGGCAGAGATTCTGCAGGGGCGTTACCAACATCATCCTGATCAGTCCCAGGACTGAAGAAGCCATTTGCCCAAGAAATACTGGGGTGCTGCTGAGACCTGCTGTCAGAACAGACCAACAGTAGAACAGTGATCTGATGGTAGATTAAAGCGGCCTCTCAGCCACCCTAGTTCTGGCCTTCAGTTGTTCTTTCAAGATGTGGAGAGTTTTAGAGCAGAGTGGATTAAACTCTCATACCGTTTCTTGTTGGGACCGTTTCAGCTCTTGCTCTTCAATTTCCCTGCAGAGCTTACGCAGCTGGTTCTCTCTCTCCCTTTGCTCTTCCTGGAATTCCCTGCACTTCCTCGAATATTCACGGACGTCGTCTTCCAGGGCTGCTTGTTCTCGAAGTGCTTCCTCTTTCTGCTTTGCAGCATTTTTCAACTCCTGCCCATTTCGGAGCAAAGCGTACAGAGTAACTTAGGGAGAAAAAACTTCTGCTCTAAGCCCTAATACAGTTGTGCTTGCTTACTCAAACACCCAAAGTGATCCCTGACCGACACATCTCAAATATTACATACTCTTCATCAGGGGCAAACTTGTTTGCTAGATAAGAAGTTTTTTTTCTGGTTTTAAGAGGGAAAGGGAAAGAAATCATCCATCTAGGAGCTAAAAAGAACCCGTACCTTAGCTCTGGGGAAGAGTATTTAATACTCAAAAAATGGCAGGCAAGTTCACATGGAATGCTTCAGCAAATAAATGGAACTGCTTTGTTTAGCCCCTTTTGGAGAGATGCCTCATTGCTGTCAATAAATGGCCTGAAAACAGACATACGTATTCTTTTCAGAGGGGCTTTTTTAACTGCTCAACAGCACCAACTCTGCAGGTTCTCTGCTGAAATTATTATTATGACTAGCAGTAAAGCCTGTTGTGAAAGCAATACAACGAGATCTAGAAAGAGGCTCTGGGGCAGTGCTCTGGCCAAAGCCAGACAGTGTCAATTTGCTGTGGTGACCTCAGCAGGGTATAATGACAGAGTCCACTGTTTTCTCCAGAGGAACTGATCTCTGCTACCTGAAGAGCAGTTGTAATTGTGAGTGATCTGTAGCCCTCACCTGGAGATTGGCAGCAATTGTTACCCAGGACAAAATGGCTGGTTTGGAGGGTGTAGTCTATGGCATTCTACCTGTCTGAGGTCCCACCCCTCCGCAAACCCCACCCTCTCCAGGCTCCAGCCCTCAAATCCCCAGGAATTTGTCAGCATGTAGTTGGCAACCCCATCTCCTTCCCAGCTAACCATCAACCTACCATTATCTGCCCCTTTGACTTCAGCTGACTTCTGCCCTCCCTTCTGCAGAGCAGTTGTAATTCTGAGTGCTCTCTAGCCCTCACCTGGAGATTGGCAACAATGGTTCCCTATGAGGGACTGACTGGTTTGGAGGGTGGAGTCTATGGCATTGTACCTGTCTGAGGTCCCACCCCTCCTCAAGCCTCACCCTCTTCAGGCTCCATCCCTCAAATCTCCAGGAATTTCCCATCTGGAGTTGGCAACCCTATCAGGACTGGCCCCAATGTGTTTTCTCCCAAAGGCCAAAGTAGGTGACAGGACCAAGCTTAGTTGCCTACCAACAGGCACTGAGGGGAATGTAAGGTTGCCAGCCCTAAGGAGGGAAATACATGGAGTTTTGGGGGGTGGATTCTGTAGAGGGCCGGGCGACGGAGGCATCGGCCTTCTGTCCCCCGCCTTGCCCCCCCAATCTCGGCCCGGGCGACCGCGGCTCCCGCCAGCGGCTGCCCGACTCCAGACCCCCCCGTGGC